AGGGTGGTCAAATTTGTTTAAATTACGTGAATTGGTTTTCTGCAGTGATTTTGGTGAAGAGATCTTTTTTTAGGTAACTACTGAAGCAAGTACGTGGAATTAAGTTGTTGACAATTTTAAGTTTCTAGCTTAATTTGCAAAATCAAGCTCTACAAATCATTCAAGTTTTATCTTGGCCAATTTCTTTTAATGGGGGAGAATTTGTGAGTTTTGTTGCTTTTTAATTTTTCATTGTTTCTTTGTTAATTTTACCTTAATATTCTTGTCTAGTTGTTTGCTCTTTTTGTTCATCTTGCATAATTCTTTGGATTTTGAGTCTTTGATTCTTAATTCCATATATCTTATTTTCACTGTTTTCTATTCTAGTTTGTTGGATCTTGAATATTAGGTTCTCGATTCTTAGTTTTCTTATTTCGTGGGTTCTACTTGTTTATTACTTGAGTTTGACACTTTGCAACCATTCCTATTTGAATTGTTACTTGTTTGCTTCATTAGCTTCTTCGTTGCAAACTCTTGGATCATCACCCTATACTTGAGAGAGATTGTATCCTTGTGAGAGAGCATCCTTTTGAGCGTAAACACGAGCGAACCACGTCAATTGAGTGAACACGTGAGAGAGTGAATTACTTTTCTTTAATTGCTTTTCTCTTTTGCAGCAATGTCAAACTTAGGAGATAGACCTACTAATGGAGATGTAGAACGGATGGAACCACAAGAACAACTCATTGCGAGAGTCATGCAAAATGTGGAGACCATGATTGATGAGAGGTTAGATAGGATGGAGCAAAGACTTCAAGCTAGGGATAGACCTCAAAGAAGAAGGCGGCCTGAAGAAGTTTTGGAGGAGGAAGAAGACTTAGGGCAAGAAGATAAAGACGAGGAGTCGGAGGTTACAGTACCTAGAAGAGGAGAACACCGAGGAGTGAGAGGAATAGGAGGTTTCCAGAATAGAAGGCAACAACGGATGAGAGAAGACAACCATAAGATCGGGGCTTTGGAAACATTAAGGTTAAATTTCCCAAGTTACATGGCACTTCCAACCTAGAAGATTATTTAGAATGGGAACAAGAAGCTGAGCATATATTTTATGGCAACAACCTCACAGAAGAGAAAAAGGTAACTATCTCTATTACGCATTTTAAGAGTTATGCACAGACTTGGTGGGATAAGGTGTGTTCTAGGAGAAGGAGACGACAAGAAGGTCAAGTGTAAACTTGGTTGGAACTGAAGGAGTTTATGAGGAGGCGGTTCCTACCACCACACTTCTTGAGAGATTGTGTACAGAAACTTCAAGCTCTTCGCCAAGGAAACAAGAGTGTTGAAGAATATTATAAAGAGATGGAAACATTGATGGAAAGGTTAGACATTGATGAGAATGATGAGAACACAATGGCACGATTTATGAATGGGTTAAACATAGAAGTGGCTGATCGTGTTCATTTGCAGATGTATGAGGATATGAAGGAGTTGGTGCACTTTTCGATGAAAATTGAAAAGCAAATTCAAAGGCGTAAGTCGAGGTACGCTACTAAGAAACCTTTTTCAAACTCAACTTCGTCTTGGAAAAAGGATGGCAAATCAACTGACTTCAAATTTAAGGTGGGTAGTGAAAAACCTAAAGATAAGGGGGAAACTTCATCCAAACCCAAACCTAAAACTAATACACCTACAGGTAGGAGTCGGGATCTTAAATGTTGGAAATGCCATGGGGTGGGACATATAAGTAGGGAATGCCCTAATAAGATAACCATGATCCCTAGAGAATGAGAGATAGTAACAGATGTGAGTGAGGTAGATGAAGAAAGGGATGAGTCCATGAATGACCTAGGGAGTGAGGAAGAAGTGGAGGATACTGCATACTTATCCTTAGTCACTAGGAGGGCTCTCAGTACCCACATGAGGGAAGATAACTTGGAGGATCAAAGGGAGAACTTATTTCATACACGTTGCTTTGTGCAAACCATACCCTATAGTGTAGTGATTGATAGTGGGAGTTGTACAAATGTAGTAAGTTCTAGCTTGCTCTCACGACTGAGCCTAGATACTAAACCTCAGCCACAACCTTATAAATTACAGTGGCTTAATGATTGTGGTGAACTCAGGGTGACTAAGCAGGTGAAAATTCCTTTTGCCATTAGAAGATACGAGGACGAGGTACTATCTGATGTGTTACCGATGCATGCAGGTGATATACTCCTTGGCAGTTTGATAGGAAAGTTCATCATGATGGTTTTCTTAATCGTTACACATTCACACACAATGGTAAGAAAATTGTACTTATTCCCCTATCCCCCAAAGAAGTACTTATTGATCAAGAAAAATTAGAGAAAAGAAAGGTCGAGGTCGCAGCAAAAGCAAATGAGGGAAAAAAAAGAGAAAGGAAAACAAAAAGAGAGCTCGAGAGAAAATAAGAGCTTGAGAGAAAATGAAAGTTTGAGAGAAAAGCAACGGCATAGCTCGCGACCTAATAAGAAAAAAGAGAAAAAAATAATTAGCTGGAGTGCTAGAACTTGTGAGGTTAGAAATGCTATGTTTTCAAAACGAACCATACTTATGGTTATGTTTAAAGAAGCTAACTTACTAACCGAGGAGCTTGAATCCTCTTTGCGTAGTGTTTTTGTGTCTCTTTTGCAGGAATTCAAAGGTGTATTTCCCGAGGAGTTGCCTAAGGAGTTACCACCTTTGCGAGGCATAGAACACAAGATTGACTTCACACCCGGTGCTCAAATTCCAAATCGACCAGCATACCGGACAAATCCACAAGAGGCTAAAGAGATTCAAAGGCAAGTAGACGAGTTGTTTGCCCAAGGGTACGTATGAGAAAGTTTGAGTCCTTGTAGTGTTCTAGTCTTATTGGTACCTAAAAGATATAGGTCTTGGAGAATGTGCGTAGATTGTAGAGCTATAAACAAAATTATCATTAAGTATAGACACCTATGAATTATATAGATGTAACCTATTTACAAAAATTGATTTAAAATTTGGATACGATCAAATTAGGATGAATGTGAGAGATGAATGGAAAACTGCATTTAAAACTAAGCATGGATTATATGAATGGTTGGTTATGCCATTTGGTTTGACCAATGCACCTAGTACTTTTATGCGACTTATGAACCATGTATTGCGTGACTTTTTGGGAGAGTTTGTTGTGGTTTATTTTGACGACATTCTGATATATTCTAGGACACTAGAGGATCATGTTCAGCATGTTAGGTATGTTCTGATTGCACTTCGAAAAGAAAAACTTTATGCTAATCTTAAAAAGTGTAATTTTTGCATGGAAATGATAAACTTCCTAGGATTTGTTATATCTAAACAGGGAGTGGAAGTTGATACTGAGAAGGTTAAAGCCATTAGGGAGTGGCCCACACCTAAGAATGCTAGTGAAATTAAGAGCTTTCATGGACTAGCTGGTTTCTATAGGCGGTTCATTAGAGACTTTAGTTCCATAGCTGCACCACTTAATGAGCTTATTAAGAAACATATGAAATTTGAGTGGGGTAAAGCTCAAGACTGTGCATTCAATGAGTTGAAAGATAAATTATGTAATGCACCTTTACTTGCCTTACCTAACTTTGAACTAACGTTTGAAATTGAGTGTGATGCAAATGGAATAAGGATTGGAGCTGTTTTAATGCAGAACCAAAGGCCATTGATGTACTTTAGCGAAAAGTTGAGTGAAGCAACTCTAAAGTACTCTACATACAACAAAGAGCTTTATGCCTTGGTGAGAGCACTACAAACGTGGCAGCACTATTTGTGGCCAAAGGAATTTGTTATTCACACTAACCACCAAAACTTACAGCATTTGAAGGGGCAACAAAAGCTAAATAAAAGGCATGCCAAATGGTTGGAGTTCATAGAAACTTTTCCCTACGTGATACGGTATAATAAAGGTAAGGAAAATGTGGTAGCCGATGCACTATATCGAAGGTATGTTTTACTGAACTCCCTTCAAACAAAATTGCTTGGCTTTGAACATATTAAGACCTTGTATTCTCAGGACACTCATTTTGAACCTATTATTGAGTATCTTCTGCAAAAACGTGTGGCGAATGATTATATGTTGTTTGATGGTTTCTTGTATATAAAGAATAAACTTTGCGTTTCTATTTGTTCCATTCGTGAGTTGCTATTTAAAGAAGCTCACGACGGAGGTTTAATGGGCCATTTTGGGGTAGCAAAAACATATGAAATGTTGACTGAACACTTCTATTGGCCTAGAATGAGACATGACATACATAAGGAGTGTGAGAGATGCATGCGTGCAAGGAAGCGAAGTCTAGGTCAAAACCACATGGATTTTATTTGCCTTTACCAATTCCTAGCGGACCATGGTTAGATATTTCAATGGATTTTGTACTTGGCTTGCCACGATCTAAAAAAAGGAAAGGATAGCATATTCGTAGTAGTTGACAGGTTTAGTAAGATGGCACATTTCATTCCATGTAATAAAACTAATTATGCTAAACATGTGGTTGACTTGTTCTTCAAGGATGTAGTTAAATTACATGGCATTCCTAGAAATATTGTTAGTGATAGGGATGTTAAATTTCTAAGTCACTTTTGGAGAATACTGTGGCGAAAACTAGGCACTAAATTAGTTTACTCCACTACATGTCATCCTCAAACTGATGGACAAACTGAGGTAGTTAATAGAACAATGGTGACAATGCTTCGGGCTATAATTGATAGAAACATCAAAAGTTGGGAGGATTTTTTACCATTCATTAAATTCACATATAATAAGGTTGTCCATAGTGTCACCAGATGTTCTCCTTTTGAGATTGTTTATGGATTTAATCCTTTGCCACCTCTTGATTTATTACCTTTGCCTTCTAACGAGGTTGTGAATTTTCAAGCTGACAAAAAGGCAATAGCCATTCGAGAGCTACATAAAGAGGTTAAGGAAAGGATTGAGAAACAAAACACTAAAATAGCTGCGAGAGTCAATCAACACCGAAAGCTTATTGTATTCAAAGAGGGAGATTGGGTCTGGGTTCACTTTCGAAAGGAACGATTCCCACATTAGCGAGATTCTAAGTTAAACCCAAGGGGAGATGGACCTTTCCAAGTGTCGAAGAAAATCAATGACAATGCCTATCAAATTGACCTCCAAGGTAAGTATGACGTGAGTGCTGCTTTTAATGTATCTGACTTGACTCCTTTTGATGTAGGTGACGATTTTGATTCGAGAACGAATCCTTCAAAAGGGGGAAAAGATGATATGAACCAAGATGCATTAGCCTTGCCACCAGAACCAATCACTCGTTCAAGGGCCAAGCAGTTACAGCTAGCATTTGCTTCTCACATCCAAAGAGTAGTGAGCCCCACTAATGGACATCAAGAAGATAAAGGTTGGAAAAAACTTTATTCATGGTGCCAAATGAATATACGAGATGAAGATGAAGCCAAATGAAGACACGAGAAGAAGATGACGGAACTTTGTATCAACAAAGTTATTATTTATTTATTTATTATTATTATTTTTAAATGGTTATCTATCTTATTTCTAGGCCTTTTATGTTTTTAGCACAATGATGTGGGCATTGAATTTATCAATTTTTAGGTGTTTTTTTAAATTAACTATGCCACTTTTAATTGGGGGTAGTATAGTCTTTTAGCTTCCTTTGAGATTAGGGATTTAATCTTGTGAACAGAACGATCAATTTTTTACAGAATGAATTTGGAGTGTTTTATCGTGATGACTAAAGGTTCATCAACTTTGCAATTCCTTATCTAGGTTGCAAACCCGGAACATTCAAGCTAGGTTTGATCAACCTCTTGTGGAGTGTTCAACCTTGTGAGGGAACCAGTTCTCCTTACCTCTTGGTCTTCGATCATCAAGGTAATCCTCGTCTAATATTCCCTTGGGATTGTGCTATTTGATTTGGGGTTTCTGAAATTGACAGTTAGGGGTCCTCCTTAGGTGGAAGGGTTTTTATCTACAATTTTCTAGGGTTTCATATCACATGGACGCCTTGACTCTTGTGTTATCAAACTTTGAAGGAAGAATCGTTGGAACTTTTTGCTCTAAAATCTTTGACTATAGAGTGGGATTTCAATTGTTTTCTCAAATCCGAAGTTCAAATCTTCAAGTTTGGTTCACTTTTCTCTAGTTTACTCTTTTTTCATCGCTTCTAGGGCTAGATTTTTTATTTTTCTAACAAATAGAGGAATATTTTCCAACGTATATCATGATTTTTAGTTGAAAGGCCACTGGAGTTAGGGTTTCGGGAGTTTCTGAATTTGAGAGTGCTACTAATTTTTGAAAAAAAAAGGAGTGATTTTGATTTACGAAGGGGATGGAGTTTGTGGTTTCTTGATGGAACATCGGGCGAGTTTTGTTCGATAAATAAAGTAGTGGACAAAATAAAGGTCAAAACTTGAGCAAACTTAAAAAAACTCAGGTGAGTTCGAAGAAAACTCGCGTCGAGTGGTATGAAATGCGCCTAAAACATGGGTTTAGCAGCGAGTTTTCATAACTTGGGATAGATCTCTAGCGAGGCTACAATTTATAATATATTTTATTTGTTATATTTGTTACAAACATTTTCTTTGGTTCGTTGGCTTCGAGCACATCCTACCGTCCCATTTTCTCGTGTTTGATTCCAATTGTTAGTAATTTTTATGCTATTTTTCCTATATAATTGGTCAATTTTTAAAAAAGGAAAACAAATCCTGATTTCATCCAATAGGATTCAAACTTAGGCAGCAGGAAGATTCGACCATATTCCAACCAGTGTTCTTAATGTCGATGTCGATGGAAATGTCGAGGTCTCGATGTTACGGACATGTCGATGTCGACGAATATTTCGGGAAAAATAATGGAAATTGTAGAAATTTTTCGAATTAACAAATAAACTTGAATTGTAGCTTAATTAGCCTATAATTGGTCACCTTTAACCATTAAATATAAGAATATGACCATTTTACTTATGAAAATGTCGACGTCGATGGAAATATCTAAAAAAAGATTTTTTTCTTGAATGAAGATTGATGGAAATTATTTGAATATGTAAAGTAAACTTTAATTGTAAATTTTTTACTACTTCTTTAGTGTCTTTCATAATAGGATTCATTTGGAAATGAGATAACTACCGACTTGGTTTCCAAACACATTTCTAAATTCTAATTAACTCGTACCTTTTTACTTTTTACCTACTTCTCTTTTCAAATTTGAATTTACACATTTTTCAAACACATTTTCAAATCAATCATCATCTAACTTTCCAATCAAATCTAAACAACTTCCAAGCACATCTCTCATTCACTTAAATTATTCTTACTTTTTTTACCTTTTTAATTTTTACCTACTTTTCTTTTCAAATTTGAATCAACACATTTTTCAAACATATTTTCAAATCAATCATCAATCCAATTTTCCAATTAAATTTACACAATTTCCAAACACATTTCTAATTCACTCAAATCATGTCACCCAAGATGAGGACCATGGATCTCGGGTGAATGGTGAGGAGATTGTTGCTATTGTAAACCATTTTATAGACATCAAGATGCAGGATCTTACTTAGGACAATATGATGATAATTCATTAATCTCGAGTATAAGAACAATGAGTATAAGCAGTAACAGCATATAGGAACAAAGTTATGGTTAAGGAAGTTTTTTATTACTCTAGGTATGGTCAAACTAAATACTCATCTTATGGCTATGACTATCATCCTCAACCTCAACCTCGTGATTGTGTCATTCATCCAAATTATCTACCAATGGGATCCATATGTGCTTCATATGAGTCATATTCTACACATTTGAGCAACTACCTTAAAAAACTTTCGGTCTAAGATGACCTTGGAGAACTATTGTAATTTATATCAAAGTTATCAAGATAGTGCACTAGATCCTCTGAGGTCATCTTTTTTGTATTAATTAAGTTACCTATTCTACTTCATGTATCACCACTATTGGTATATAATAGTATTTTATTTTTTAAAATTTCTAAGATTATTTCAATCTTTATATATGTCAATATTTCATATATATTGTTCAATTATGTAACTAAGGACTATATTGGATTAAAAATTATCAATAAAGCAAATTTCAAATCTTATTAGTTATACTTTATACAGTATTAAAATATGAATGTTGCATTGAACAATCATCGAGGTTGTGAGAAATTACAGATTGTAGTGGCATAGTAGGAAAAAGATGAAAATAAAATAACCTTAAAAAAATGACATGTCGACGATATGAGGGGAAATCGACTTTCCCCAATATATATTTATCAAATTTACCGAAAAAAATAGTAAAACTAGCTCTGGAACTATCCTTCTCATGATAAATTAAGACAACAAATATTACACATAACTTATCTCGTATCTTTGAGTCAGATACGATTGTGTCAATTTTGGTCCTGGAAAAGATCTTGAATTCATGAGAGCTTTAGAGAACATAAGCCATTTGAAAAGTTCTCATAGAACCGACCCAATTCTACTCTCACGTAGGTGATATTGATTAAGAGTATTCTGTCACTACTCCTCTTGTAATCAAGATATCAATATTACCTTAATATCAACATATCACACACATAACATCATAGAAATGGGAAGAAACTATAAGTTTCTTAGTGCGTCAACTATGAATTATCCAGCCAGTTTGCCTATTGAACCTAGATCTTGGGATTCTCAGTCAACTAGGTTAGGTTACCACCAGATATATTTCATTTCGTAGGCTTTAGCCCCATTTCCCTCGATGTATATGAAACTTGCTCTCGAGACAATCCTTTCGTCAAAGGATCTGTAATATTTTCTTTTGATTTCACATAATTGATAACTCTTCAAATGAGAGTTATTTTATTATTTATTTGGGTGATTTTATACAAAGAAATGTCAAAGTGTGTCGGTGTTAGCTCTTAAACATCATAAAAAATCTTATAAACCGAACTTCGAGCTAAAGTCCCAGGTCTTGAATGCTTTAGCTAAAAGTGCGCTGAAGTCTCTTATTTCTGGTTTAAATGCACGGATTTGTAAAAGGAAGACAAAGCATGAGAAGAGTGCTGAGCCCAGAGAAGAGTGGATGAAGCATGTTCGAGACAGAGCAGACGAAAGTTGGAGTGAAGCAGCGTGGGAGCATGGAATTACTGCGCAGTAACAGCCCAGACACGGGAATTACTGTGTCCGTACAAACTTCAGCTGGGAGCCCTAAAAAGGGATCCGATATAAAAGAGACATTTATATTAGCACGTTTTTTAGAGCTGAAACGACAAGGAGGAGGAATCCCTCCATTTTCGGGGGTAGAAAGCTGACGACAGAGGGGATATTTGACTGTTGTATCGAGCTGTCATCTTCTTCTTTGGTTTTCTACTACTTCCTTAAAATGGGTTGTCTTCTTCCTTCACCCAATGTATTTTCTTCTTTATCCATGAGTTAAACCTCATTTCGGGGGAGATGTACATGTTGTAACTGACAAACAACCGAACCTCTAGCTACTACACTCATTTTTTAATAGAGTTGTTTATATTTCTTCATTCTTACTTGACATTGTTGATTGCTTTGTCTTGTCTACTATCTTTTGTATTGACCCAGGAGGGCTTACGGATTGCCGACTTGCTTTATTTCTGATTAGTACTTTTCTAAAGTAATTTGTGGATGTTCAGGAATGGGGTTCAGCCTAGAACTTGTTTTTATTGCTTGGAAAACTTAGCAACGGGAGTTGTGGGTATCCATGTTAGGGTGTCTCGGGAGGGAACCAAGTCGAGTTGGGCACTAATGAATGTATGTAAGCTAGTGGGTAGGTTGAGAAGTTGGTGAAAGCATGTTAAATCTCCCTCATTTTTCCATATCTGTTAACTCCCTATTTTCGTGTTTTGTGCTATAACCTCTTCTTGTTATCAGCTCTGTGAAGTATGTCTGCTATTGAGATCTTTTACTGCGTTGTTTATTATATTTCATTTAAATCACGACACAAACACCTATACTTCTTTGCTTTTACATTTTGGTATCTGTCAACATCGTTTAGAATATTTTCCAAAGTCCCTATAGATTCGACCTCGTTTCGTGCTACAATCGGCATTTTCGTGTATATTTACACGTGTTGTCAACACGGTTGTGTGGACGCAACAATAATCAATGGAAATTACTCCATTAGAGAGCAATTGCCTAATAGAATTATGTATGCGTCTTATGTTCGTGACTTCCAATTGTAGACATTATTCTTAGCTCTCATTGAGGCTATTAAGCTGTCACAATAAATACATATGACACTTATAGGCTTCGACCATAATGGAATATCTTCAAGAAAGTTTCGAAGTCATTCTGCTTCTTCTCTGACCTTATCAAGAGCTATAAACTCTGATTCCATAGTAGATCGTGCTATACACGTCTGTTTTAAAGAATGTCATGACATAGTTGCTCACCTAAGGTAAATATATACCCACTGGTTGACTTAGTCTTCATG